TCGAGGGATACCAATCGCACCGATGGGTTCGAGAAATCGCCTTCGAGAGGAGTTTGATTTTTTTTTCTTTTGCTTCGTACAAAATGAATTTTTTTTTGGCCCAATACGAAACACAAAAGCAGCCGATAGGCTGAGAATCGGCCACGTCTCCCAAGGATCAAATCCTTCAGCCTCTTAATAACGGATCAATCCTTCNTTTTTTTTTGGCCCAATACGAAACACAAAAGCAGCCGATAGGCTGAGAATCGGCCACGTCTCCCAAGGATCAAATCCTTCAGCCTCTTAATAACGGATCAATCCTTCCGTTTATTGTGATAAATATCATTATTATATTAAAACAAACCTATGTACTTGCGCTAAGGATTCATCACGGACCCCCGATGCGCTTGCTCTTAGTTTTGGTTGTTGGAGACTTTTTTGAAGCCATTTGTCTCTTTATAGATCTTGCTCCGGAGAATATGAGACAAATTAGCGCTCTCAAAGTTATTTATGCAGACTTCAGAAAGGTATCAATTTCTGTAGTAAAAGTTGGCTTGATTTAATGACTTTATTGTTATATATGTTTTTGTATTGTTTAGTTTTGTGAACAAATACAAATCAAAACGGTGAAGAAAGCAAAGAGAGTAAAAACGATTGATGTAAATATCCGTTAAAGGTTGTATATTATTATGTGAATGAATAATATTACAATTTCTTAAATTCATATTTATAGTAGTCTCAAAATCTGATTTTTTTTGTTCTTTTTAAGAATATATACTACTTTCAACTTAACAAATGTTAGATTTTTACTGGTGCACATAGATTTAAGACCCATTTAGATATAATATTTAGGAAGTCAAATGTGCAAAATGCCGCATCTATTTGATACTGAATATCACTTCAAGGGTGATCAGCATATGATCAGTATTGTCAAAGGTACGTCGAATGTACCTATGATAATAAACTATCTATATATGTAGCCATGTATGTCTGGTCTTTCTTCTAGGGATTCGGGTAAAACGGTTACAATGCATGAAATGCAAGTGTAGATTGATACAGAAGTGTCAACTTCTGCAGGGTCCAGTATGATTGGGAAATAGAACAGTGCCAGAACAGAGCAGAGCAATTATTCATTAGGATTCAGATTCATCCCCCTAAATAGTTGCGTAAAAGAAGATCAGAATTTGAACTTACCTCGTTTGACGTAGAACAGAGGAGAGTTTGAGCTAGTTTTAGTTCCAAATAAATATGAACTTTTTGGGTTGTCTGATAATATCTCGGATTATTTTTTCCGGATTTGTTCTAATTGGTCTCAGAATTTTGGTTTTTGGGTCAATTGCATGCAATATTATAACAGATTGAACTGGAATTGTGACACAATAATGACTCAGATACTTGATAAAAAAAATGACTCAGATACAAACCCATACATGTTCGGTTCATTTACTTTCAGACTTGGCCTCTTTTTCACAAAACTATTATATTGTTTGTTAATAGAACACTTTCAGTTTTTTTAATCATGATACTAATTTCAAAATAATTTAGATCAGCCTTCGAATAGAATAACATCTTTTATATGTAATTTCCCTCTTCTTTTTCTTATGAATTTAAATTTTTAATCATGAAAAAAATAACAGTCTTTGGACCAGACCGAAGTTATATGCATGTCATTAGACCAGGGACAGGTAAAACTGGTTTGTGATAAGAATGAGTGCCACTCTAATCTAAACTAGCCTGGCTTCGTCTGCATGCAATTTATTGTGGGAACGTGTATTTCCTGTCTTTTGAGTCTTATACTTCTTGCAAATAACTCTTTCGATGACCACGCATGATTTATTGGGTTCAAAAATATGCTCAAATTTTGATGGGAAAACCGAAATTTGTAGCCTTTTTCGATTAGTTTTTCTTTGATATATACACGTCGAATATAGCATTGACACTTAAACAGGTTAACGAGGCTAACTTCAAGTTTGTAATTATTTCATCATTGGCTCAGCGAGGAAGAAAAACCATTTTGTTAAACTTAATGATAATTGTTGAGTAAGAAGTTTAGTAAGTCCCTCCATTTTGTTAAACTTACCGTTTTAGAGAAATGTTTTGTTTCAAATTAAATCATTTTTTTCTTTGTAAAATTCATTAACCTCTTATACTATATAACCTTTTATATTCTATAATATATTTTTAATTGGTTGAATTGTTGTTACATAAAATAGTTACTTTGATGTGTACTTCCGTTTTTGATTAGTTGAAAAGCAGAAATATTGGCATCTAAACTACTTAGGCAGAGAAGTAGGTTCCAACGACTAGCAACTCTTTGGAACTGGTAATAAGAGAAAAGCTTAAACCCTGTTTGTTTAAAGATCACATCTATTTGACTTGTATTTCTTTGTGGGAAATATATAAAAGAGAAGGCCATAGATGAGCTAGCTATGGAGCCATACCTTGTTACATAAAAGATCAATAATTTGATTTGACTTTCCCATGTGTCTTTCCACAGTTACTAGCTGTCATTCTTTTCCCCGTGTCCCTCTATTATTATATCACCATTGAATTCACAAAGTTTGAAGCTCATCTTTGTATAGATCGTGTAACACTTCGGTTTGAATCTTACAAGGATAATACAAATTCCCCTATATATTAATTAAAAAACCAGATAAAATTTGCTCATAATGAGCAAACCTAAAATCTTTATTTAAAAACTTATAACCTTAAATTTATATTAATTAAAAATAAGTTTTGCTTAGATGTTACTTAATTAGAATGTCAATTTGACTTATGTGGCAATATAAGAATCAACTGAAAAAATAGTGAATCCAAAATCCAATTGCTAAAAAAAATATATTAACCCAAACAAAATGTATATGGAATTTTTTTATAAAATATTATTCTTCATTCTTTTCTTAAATAAAAGATACGAAATTACCTAATGTGGTTAACAAATAACAATTAACGATTTTGAATAATAAAGATTTGATAACAATTAATGATTTTGTATCTTCCATTATTTTTAATTTTATATACTTAAAAGAAATTAAATAATCACATTAAGCATATAATAAAAAAATTATATTTTTTCCTATATGCTATATTTTGAATTTTCAAACGATTATGAATTACTAATACTGTTAAAAATTCACAATGAAATTGTTGTGATTAATGGTTTAACTTTTTTTACAATAAGATACAAATAATCATAAAATCATATAAATATAAAATCTCATTCAATATTGTTTAAATTAAAATATATCCCATATATATTAATAAAAAAAACATTTAAAAAGTTGTAACATTAAGTTAGTAATAATTACAAAAGAACCTTGATGAATTATCACTTAATTAAGATGTCAATTTACCTTATATGACAGCTTTAGAATCAATTGAAAAAAATTGTTGGTCCAAAATTGAGTAGGGGATTCGCTAGGGAAATAATATAAACCTATACTTAGAGAGCAACTTTCAGTTTATTAGTGTTAATATCAACTATCAAGTATCTTGTGAATATTTTTCGTGCTCAAATCAATGGTTTCATCTTATAGATAGTCATAACTCAATTCTAAAATTTAGGGGATGTCAATATGCAAGTTTATATGTTATTTAGTATTATTCATTTGCATAAACTAAATTGAACAATAAAAATTACATTTTAATATTTCATTCTAATAAATAAGTTTGCCATCAAAAGTTAAACTTGCATACATATCTTTGTAAAGTTGATACTAGATTTTGATCCGTGTTCGAAAGTGTGGGTTATTTTTGGTTATAAATAAAGTTAGATATGAATTAGTACTTTGGTTTGGTGTATATTAATACGTTTATAAAGGAAATTTTGCTTAATTTTAAAATTTATGAAATAGTTTATTTGAGTTTTTGTATACACACTCTAATAAAAATTCTGTTTTAGGCATGTACATTTTATCCGGCCCAAAAGAACATTGAGAAACCAACACGAAATACATGTTCGGATCTAGGATCAAGGCAAAGTACATATTGGAATTTTTGGACACGCGGATCTCTGTTTGAATCCGAGTATCCAAAGTACTCGAAATGTTTTGTGTATAATTGAGTATTTCAGATATGTTTTCAATATTACATATTTTTATAAAAAAAATTTTAGCTTCGCATTTCCGATTATAGTTTCGGGTTTATATAAAATTTCAATTCAACTTAAGATTTGTGATAGTCTAATAGAAAATGGTGATGCATTAAAAATGTTTAAAATAGTTAATGTTAATATTTATATTAACAAAATCCTTAATTTTTGTCAATAACTCATCATAAAAGAAGGTTTAACAGTTAGTATGATACTTAGACGAGGTAGGACGACTTAAGAAACAAGGATACATGATCTTTCGTCAAAATAAAGCTTAATAATGTTCTCCAATATATTTAAAAAAAGAAAATATTTCGATTAAATATCATACAACATCCCATTTTTATTTCTAACCAACTTACTATTGAAGTCTCTCCCTTGCTTCATTTTGGGAAGCACTAGCCAGTATCCACATTCTTCTCAGTTTCTTTATTATGATTATTTTCTTAATATATTTTCATAATATATTAATTAAGATCTTTAATGATACCTCGCTCATAAAAGATGAATGCATTCATCTTTTTTTTCTGAACGACTCATTCATTAAAAACTAAAATCTTACAGAGTAGAAGCAGCAAGAGCACCCCTTTGCAAGGGCATCAGCAGCAGAGTTCTTTGAACACGAAATGTAAATGAAGGAAATTACAGAGAATCCAAGGGACAAGGTAAGAACATCCTGAAAGATTCCAAAACAGCTCCTTTAGAGAATTCTTGTAATTTATAGCTAAGACCAATGTCTGAGATTCTGATTTGACTGTGACTTTTGTGAAACCCTTTTGCCATGCTTGTGTCAAAGCTTCACGGATGCATTCATCTATGACTTCTAAGTATCAAAGATAATCTTTGAGTCTCATGTAAATGATATTGAGATGGGTTGCATTCAACAATAAGATTTGATAATTCATCAAAATACATCGTCTTCGAACCCTCTCTAGATAACTCCTAGTAGATATCTTACACGTTCAATAAACACATCAACAAGGCAGAACCATGCTCGGCGCCATGGAGAATCAAAGCACATAAACACCACAAACCCAATCAAAACCGTGACATAGGTGCAACCAAGGCTCCACCACAAGACCACAACATCAATCAATCCGCTTTCATCCTCTTCTGATCCTTCTTCTCCTCGTGAGCTTATTGCAGCTCCACAGCTTCTATTGGTAGGTGATCCACAAAGAAAAACATTACCTAAATAACTCATCTCACCAAAGGTGTTGAACTGTTTACCTAGCGGAATCGCACCTGATAGATTGTTGTAAGATACATTAAAGACAACAAGAGACTGCAGCATTGTGAGTTGTGAAGGTATGACTCCATGTAACTTGTTGTAAGAAACATCCAAGCTCTCTATGCTTTTCAGATTTGTAAACCTTCCAGGGATAACACCCGTTAATGAGTTCCTTGATAAGTTCAGCGAACGTACTCTCTTGAGATCTCCAAGCTCTTCAGGTATCTCGCCGCTTAACTCATTACTCGACAGATCAAGACCAAACATCTGGTTAAGAGTTCCTCTCATGTACGAGTCATATCTCTGTTTCATAGAAAACTCAACTTGGACTTTAAAATCCACCGAGTAATCTAGACCAAACCGTTCAGACACAAGTAGAGACTCGTAGTACTCTTCGGTGTACACATCCATAACGTTTGAGAACATGTTTGCTGGATACCAATCTGGATCATTACCACCATCTCCTCCCAAACCAAACGATAGATTAGTGAGACACGAAGGTATGGACTCATTCAACCTGTTGTGAGAAAGATCCAACATTCTTAGGGATCTTAAACCGCAAAGCTCGGCAGGTAACTTGCCAGTCAAGTTATTACCTCTCAATAGAACAACATCGATGCTTGGGGTGCTCTTGAACCGAGGGATGTTTCCAGACGGGAAAAGGGCCGATTACAACCCGTACTATTTCGATCGTGCTTTTTCAGACCCAAACAATGATTAAGTGCGATTTCATACCCGAACTATGTAATAATTTGAATTTCATACCCGAACTTCGGATGATAACACAAAAAACTACTTTGACTAACCAAACGTTAGTCAACCGTTATTTATGGGTGAGTCAGCATCGAGTACTTATAAAACGACGTCGTTTTTAACAAATTTAAAATTCAGTCATAAGGTAGAGTCGAACTCACGTTATGCTAGGAAATAAAATCGTTTTTAACAAATTTAAAATTCAGTCATAAGGTAGAGTCGAACTCACGTTATGCTAGGAAATAAAACAACCGCAATGACCACTGGGCCAAATCTGTTTTTATTAAAAATGGATATGTATATCAGTTAATATCTTCTCCTTGTTCCCCTTCACCTTTTGGTTCTGTCCTTCCGTAAGAATCATTTCTACAAGCCTATGCCATCGTTTTGCTTCTTCTCAATTCTAGATTTGTTCGACGATTCATCATAAATCGATTCCTAATCAATTAGATTGGATTTCTAGGGTTTGATAATGCCTCAGGCTCGTGCTAATTTGTTTCAAAAGAAAAAATTGTTCTTCACTCTTGTTTTTTGAGCTGAAGCTATCCCTTTTGGCTTCCAACAGTACCAAATTACAACTGCCTGAAGACTAAATCATCTGAATTTAGAACTGAGAGAGAGAGACAAACAGCGAGTTACTTTAGCGAAGTGGCTAAGCACATGTTTGTCTCACTTTGCTTGGGTTCGATTCCGGCAATCTTACAATTTTGTTATTATAATTACGACGTCGTTATGATCTCATTTCCTAAAAATAACAGTTGACTAACCAAACGTTAGTCAAAGTAGTTTTTTGTGTTTGATTGTAAAGTTCGGGTATGAAATTTAAATTATTACACGGTTCAGGTATGTAATCGCACTTACTCATTGTTCGGGTCTGAAAACGCACGATCGAAATAGTACGGGTTGTAATCGGCCCTTTTCCCGTTTCCAGACAGTTTGTTGTGTCTCAGATCAAGCAGAACCATTCCTTTCCACAACGTATCTGGAATAAAACCAGTGAGATTGTTGTTGTGTAAGTCTAATATATAACCGTAGTCCGAGTCAAACCGCAGCGGTAATCTACCGGACAAGAAGTTACCAGACAGGTCTAGTAGCCAGAGGTACGGTATGTTGAAGAGAGAAGGAGGTATTACACCGTGTAAACGGTTATTTGAGATTCTAAGAATGTCTAAGAAGAAACCACCTAACCATCTTGGAATGTTACCTGTGAGGAAGTTGTTGGATAAGTCTATCACTGTCAAGAGTCTTAAGTTGCGTAGAGTGTTTGTGATCTTCCCAGTAAACATGTTATTGTCCATGATCAAAGTCATCAATGACGTCATGTCACTTGATCTTGGAACAACAGGACCAGTGAAGCTGTTGTGAGATAGCTTAAGCCACTTCAGTGAATAGCAACCAATGAAGAGGTCTCTTGGCAAGTTCCCTGAGAAGTTGTTGTATGATAAGTCCATAAACTCTAAATATTCCATTGTGTCTACAGAGGAAGGCATGTTCCCATGAAACTCATTGTTTGAGAGATTCAAATGCCTCAACCTCGGAAGCATCAAACCGATATCTTTGGGGAGTTGTTGGTTGAAGTTGTTAGCTGAGAGATCAAGAAATTGCAGCTTGTGAAGTCTTAGAAGTTCAAGGGCGTTGAATGAGTTGTTCTGTAATAGCAGAATCTGAAGCTTTGTGTTATTATTTAGCAGCCAAGTAGGGAAGGCTCCGGATAACGTGTTGCTTGAGAGATCTAGTACTCTCAGTTCCTTCTGATACCGGAGAAAACCGGGGATATTGGACAGGTTGCAGTTTGACAATGTGAGAGTCCTTAGCTGATATTTTTGGCCAGTGGTAGCACTTGTCTCTGCTATTTGCAGCATACTAGATTTTGAAGAGAGTTTGAAAACCTTGAGCTCTTTCAGCTCAGAGATCAAATCCAAAGAGAACAAGCCTTCGAAGTTGTTATCGTGTAGCGATAAGTACTCCATGGATTTGAAGTTACTGATGAATGATGGAAGCTTCCCACTTAGGTGGTTTGATGAGAGATCAAGAACTCGGAGTTTGGTGAATCTTGAAAAACAGAAAGGGATTTCACCCACAAATCTGTTTTGACTAACTTGAAGCTCTTGCAACTGCTCTAATCTGCAAAGTCCTGAAGTAATGGATGCAAAGAGAAACATCAAGACACAATATACACTCTAAAAAAAGAAGGTGTTGACATATGCCACTACTTGCCTGTCATCTGCAGTGAACCTGTTAATAGATTCTCACTTAGATCCAAAGCTTTGAGCTTCTTTAGATTGGTGAGCTCTGCCATAAAGCAAAACATGCACATGGAACACACGTCAACTTCGGATACATAGTTTATCATGATCAAGATGGAGACAATCAAAGGCCAAAAGCTAAGTAGATACTATGTTATAAATTACCTTTTCCTGGTAAATGGCCGCTGATATTGTTGAGCTTTAGATCTAGTAGTTCCAAGTTTTTCAGATTAATCAGTTCTGTGACCCACAGTAGTAAAAAATATCGAAACTAAGTGAAAATTTTATTCAGTGTGAACCGTGTTAGTAAGATTTGATTTGTGTTGGAGTGCTTAGAACCTTTCACAGGAAAGCCACCATCAATGCAGTTTCCACCAAAAAACAAAGTCTTGAGCGACACAACCTCTTTCAAGAAAAGAAAAACACTAGCGTCGAAAAAATTGTAACTGAGATCAAGAATCTCAAGATGTCTGAATCTTTCATGGCTCTTATAACCTATAAAAAACAATGAGATTTAGTAAAACTTGGGTTCAAGTTATTTGGTTTATTCGATTTATTTGGTTCAGGTTATTCGGTTTTTGGTTAATTAGGTTAGCACAAACTTTTTATCTAAATAAATTGAGGAAAAATTCGGTTTGGTTTGATATTCAGGTATTTAAATATTAATGAAATTTCTACCCAAATTAATCAAAGTGTTTGGTTTCAGTTTAATTTCTGATTTAAAATACAGATTTTTAGTTAATTTGTTTGTTGTTTTTTTCAGTTACTTCAGTTCAAAATTTTGTTAGTGAATTCTACTGAATTAACTGATTGTCGAACCGAACCGAACTACTAACTGAAATTGAAATAACAATTGTAAAAAGATTGGTTCGGTGCGGCTGGTTCAGTTCAGAAAAAAAAAACCCAAAGTTTTACACTTGAAGAGGAAGGATTGACAACAGGAGAGGATAGATACATACTTTGTTTTTGGTCAAACAAGCCTCCCAAGCTACTCTTTGAAAAGTTGAGACGCTGAAGCTTCTCAAAAGGATACAAAAATGTTAGGTTCAGTAGAGGAAGAGTATCTGAGAAACCTGATTGATATAAATCCCCAAGTGAGAGTCCAATCACGCGTTTACTGTTCAGGTCACACTTGACTCTTCTCCAACTGCAACAAGAGCGTCTACTAGTCGTCCTCCATCCTCGAGCAATGTCAGGATGTATATCACTACTTAACGAGAGAAAATAGGCCTTGAGCTCTAACAAACCTTGTCTTTCACTGAAAGTGCAGCCTCTACACTCTTGTATCTTCATCATCATCATGATAATCATCCATGTTAGACCAGAGATCATTGACTTTGAGGAATACATTTAAATGCAAAAGGTTATAAAAAAGGAAACAGAGAATGTAGTGATTGTCCAAAGTCATTTTATAGCTAAGAGATTGTGAAACTCGAGAGCTCAAAGGCATGTGATGCAATGTGCAATATATAAGAAGTCAAATGAGTATCCCAGCAGAAAATTATATTGTTTGCAATTTAAAAATGGACAACACATAAAAGAACTCAAATTTTGGATATAATATTGAGTTAGACGATGAAACTCACATGTTTTTCCTCAAATTAAGGATTCCAAAAACCTTGAAGATTCAAAAAGAATTAATATGCATTTCTGCCCTTGAGTTTATGATATGTATTAAAGGCATTCAAGCAGCAATCCCATCATGCTTACTATTATGAGCTTCAAGCAGCCCAAATTGGCCCCATCATGATGGTTGCTTTGTTTGAGTGATTTGGCGCTTCAAAACCTTTTGATGTGAGTGAACTAATTGTGATTATTTAGCCATAGCAAATCCTGGACTCATTTGTAGGATTACGACTGCTAATTGCTATTTGCTATTTGCTAATGGTTGCTTTGTGGTGGGTTTAGATAATTCAGAATAAGGACAGTTGTCTGAAATTTGTTGCATGCTGCTGAGAGGAAATTTGAAATAATCTATATTATAATAGTAGACTTTTTAGGCTCCACAACGCACCACGTCAGCAGTTTTGTGGGTCCCGTAGGTATTTTTTAAAAACCTATAGTCTTGGTAAGATGATTACAATTAATGAAATACACTTTAGCCCAGTGGTATAAGGTGTCTAATTAAACATGCAAGATAGTGGGTTCAAACCACGCATCCATCATTTAATTTTGATTTTTTGATTTGGGTTATTATCATATGGGCTTTTTATTTGTAAGGTTTTTATGTTTTTTTTGGCTTATTGTTTTAAAGATCAAAATAGTTGGATAAACTACTAAAGCTTAACGAGTTCAAACCAAAAATAATCAAAAATAGATGCAAAAACGAACAATAAAAAAAACCCAAGTCTCACGCGGTTGCCTACGCGGATGGCTTAAAGAGCCTTAAAAGTTAAAACTATCTTGTTATAATATAGGCTCCACAACGCACCACGTCAGCAGTTTTGTGGGTCCAGTAGGTATTTTTAAAAAACCTATAGTCTTGGTAAGATGATTAGAAACAATGAAATACACTTTAGCCCACTGGTATAAGGTGTCTAATTAAGCATGCAAGATCGTGGGTTCAAACCACGCAGCCATCATTTATTTTTTGATTTTTTGATTTGGGTTATTATCATATGGGCTTTTTGTTTGTAAGGTTTTTATTTTTATTTTTGGCTTATTGTTTTAAAGATCAAAATAGTTGGATAAGCCCCTAAAGCTTAACGAGTTCAAACCAAAAATAATAAAAAATAGATGCAAAAACGAACAATAACAAAAAAGCAAGTCTCACGCGGTTGCCTACGCGGATGGCTTAAAGAGCCTTAAAACTATCCTGTTATAATATAGTTCAACCCAAAAATAATAAAAAATGATCCAAAAACGAACCGACCAAAAAACAAAAAAAAATGAATCCCACGCGGCTGCTTACGTGGATGGCTTAAAATATTCATCACCACCGACTCCAGACTTCAGCGAATGAACAAAACCCAAACTTACAAAAAACCATATATAGAAATCTATCTAATGAAACTTAAACAACAAATATTAATTTAATTAAGGTTATTTTTAAATTGATAAATCATTTAATACAAATATAAATACTATAAATATAGAATTGTATCAAGTTTTGACATACGATATAAAAACTATTTACAAAAAAAAAAATAGACACCTACTTTTATACACTAAAAACTATATTATAGCCTAACTATTCCTATAAATCTTACTTCGCATATAAATAACACTTAACACATTAGATATACAATATTTTCACTTTACACTCTTACTATATTCTTTCCATTTCATTATTATTTGATGTCATTAGAAAAATCCACTAAACCAACAATCGAAAAAAAATATACATAAACATAATGATTCTGGCTCCGCGCTTGCGCGGGGAGTATGCAACTAGTTGTATTAACATCATACTTTTTAAAGCTTTATTAACATTATACTTTATTATTTGCATTTTTTTTTGTTTTACTTTTGATAACTTTTTACCAACTTATTGACTTTTAACTACGCAAACAGAATATATAAAGTTGACTAGAAAAGGTTATTATGCAAATGGTGGTTTAATATTACGGCAACTAACATATTTTTGTGTTTTCAGTAATCTATTGGAAAGTTTTGTGTGAATGAATATCTTATAGTTTTAAAACATTACAAAGATGAAAATGTTTTATAATGAGAATTTTGATATATCTATACAAACGGTTACATAGTACTTGTCTCCATGATTGCTTGTCTCTCGTGAAGTGGTTCAATTTTTATTTTAAAATTAAATTAGTTATATAATTATGATCATAAAAAATACTAAAACTGCATTTACAGGATTCGAACCCATCTACTGAAATTACATGAAAATAACTTTTTTGGACTTTCAAGCAAGGAGCGTACATTTCACCACATCAAGTTCTTTACAGAGTATTAAACCATACACTGATACACAAAAGCCCAATATTATGACTAAATTAAATCCAAAAACCTCATGTAACTAATTTACTAATAAGATCGATTCATCTATAAATGTATACAACGAGATGAAGAGAAATAACCTTGAGAGTTGCATCTCCTTCATCCTATTATATTATGTCAATCAAAGTATTACTGAATATTAATTGTTTTCTAATTAATCTTTTCCTTTCTTTCAATTTTCTTGCACTTTATAAAACTCTAAATGAGCTATCTCATCATCAGTTTCATTTATATTCTTACGAGCACTTTTGAGCATGAATTCTAAATAAGCTTTCTTTTTACTTGCCTTGCACTGATCTACTCACGGTGACACCACAAAAGAAAAAGTTTTATGAAACAAGAATTCAAGTGTTGTTACTTCAGTAGGGTCATTCGTGTGAGTGAAGGAAAAGTACAATCAATTTTGATACGTAAACTTCAAAAGAAAGTGTGGTTTATATTGTGTCATACAAACCTAATGAGCTGCCGCGCTGTCCGGATTTACCTTTGTGGGGACCGGTCTACGGAGACCGACCATTCACATTTCAGATGTTCACCAAAGACCAACCATTAAGTACGTCACTAGATGTGGTTATATATATCTCTTCAAATTGCACACATGCAACTTCGTCATTGAGGCGAATTGATTATAATTTGTTTACAGCTCAAAATTTGGATCAAATGCTCCAATGTCCCTGTCCGAAAATTTTTCTTTCCAAATATTTCTGTCCGAAATTTATCCTAAATAAACTCGAATAAATCTTTATTTAAAAAGAAAATTTAGTAAAAGATCAGAACACTGAAAGAAATTCGAATAATTACAAGATAATCAATGGTATTTCTCGAACCATCCAGACCTGGATCATAAAATTCGAATCTCCCGTGTCCATAATTTCAGAAACATTACTGAAACTTTGTGTAATTATATAACTTGGTGTAAGTGTAATTGTAATCTAAGTTGAACAAATTCACACTTGTAGTAACTATACAATTTAGTAAACCTTCAACTAATTTTGATTGTATCATGTACATGTACAATATGTTATTGATATATTTAGTGATAACATATCCATTCAACTTTGATTACAATTAATCCAAGACATATAAAAATAGTTATCCATTTGCATTATGTTACTGATATATTTAATGAAATTAAAATAAATAAAAACTATAGATATTACATTAAGAGAAATGTATTTTACATAAAGTTTAGAAAAGTACAAAACGGTGCATGGAATAACTTATAAATACACAAAAATACTTCATCCCCAATCTTCAATTGACCAATGAGCAGTGGTCAAATGAATATCATTGACGAAGTCCCAAACTGCACACTGCCAGAAACAACGATTGCATTTCCACCGTGTTCTTGATCCATCTAAGAAGACAACAAACACCGGTTGTAGCATTTCAGAGCACCAGCAAGCATAATTGATGTTGGGATCTATCTTTTCCAATAGAAACATAAGATCTGTGGTTATTCGTAACCTCAATGACCTGAGGATACCTCAGTAGCGATCATGTGATTCATCTGATCAGCAAACTCACGTGTAAAAGTAGGAAAGTTGTGAACCACTCCTCTATTATCAACGTGCTTGGCCAACAAAAATTCCCTCCCTTCCTTGATCAAGTAAATGGAGGACAAAGAATTTATACATACCTCGCAAGTAGATGGCCTGTGGATTACCGGCTCGGTAGCACTTAAGCATGTATGTTCTGACAGCATTAACCTCATCAATCCAGTCACTGAAGTGAATAAGATCTGCATATTTGTAGAAGTAATCTTCTCTGCCAATTTGATTGCAGTAATCTTCTTGCACTACCGAAGTCCCGGAGATGGTTTTGCTACCTTAGAGAGAATCTTGTGGAGCATGGAAGGAGGGAGAGAAGCCAAGTTAGAGTTCGACATGGTGAGATACACGTAATGAAAAGATTAATGTTTTATTTATTTGGACAAAATGATAAACCCTTTTATAGTAGCGATGATCCTCAACAGTGGAGAAGAGATAAGATTTTATTTATCATGGCAGTTAAGGGTGATTTGATAGAGGCCTCGAGAAGGCACGAATTTTTACTGCAACAGTCACATGTGTTGGATTTAAAACTGTGTAAAACTTTAAATGATAAAAATAAATAAATTTTTAAAACTAACTGAAACAAGTGAGTTAGATTGTCTAAATATATGAAACTAAGAAAACGTTTAATAATTTAGATAGTGTAACAATTTTGATAGTCTAAATATATGAAACTATGTAAACCTGTAAGAAATAAATATATTATTCAGTAAGAAATATCGGGATGATAAATGAAGAGTCATTTAATTTTTGTAATAATGATTTCTTATCCCGACTACAAGTTGTAACTCTTCCATTTAAGAGTGATTTGATAGATAGTGTAAATCTTCCACAACA